AAAAAAAAAAAAAAAAAAAAAAAAAGGAATTCCACATCATCGTCCAGCAGAAAAACACAAAGCCACCAGCACACCACGACCCAGCCCCAGGGAAAAGGGCAGCTGCAGCTCTGACGAGCGTGGGGAAGCCGGCCCCCACCTGGGAGTGTGCTGCGTGCTGCTGAGCTGTGCTTTTTTTGTTTGTTTATTTTAAGATGGAGTCTCCCTCTTTCACCCAGGCTGGAGTACAGTGGCGTTGATCTTGGCTCACTACAATCTCCACCTCCTGGGTTCAAGCAATTCTCCTGCCTCAACTTCCTAAATAGCTGGGATTACAGTCACATACCACCACATCCAGCAAATTTTTGTATTTTTAGTAGAGACAGGATTTCACCATATTGGCCAGGCTGGTCTCGAATTCCTGACCTTGTGATCCACCCACCTCAGACTCTGAAAATGCTGGGATCATAGTCATGAGACACTGAGCCTGGCCTTGAACTGTGCTGTAAGAATGGTTCCAACGCCAGGCTGCATGCTGCATGTATGTACATGGTTCTAAAAGGCGAGGGCAGGTGTCCTGTGCCTACTCACAAGTGAAACAACACTCTTCGGGGAGGGACCATGCTCATGCCGTCCACACCCTTCCCACACCTCCCTCCTCTTGTGGGTTCTGTCAAGCAGGATGCATGGATGGAGGGGCCTTGGTCCTTTAGGTCCTGGCCACTGCAACCCCCATGAGGCTGGCCTGAGAGGCCAAGGTTGGACACAGCAATTCCCACAAAGGTAGTGGCTGCTTGTCCTTGACGGTCAACTCCACGTGCCAATCCGGCCAGGCAGGTGGGCACCAGAAACACCTGCGGGATGGATGCTGAAGGCGTGGGACTCCCCTAGGCCACCCCTAGATGGCGCCGTAGTCCAGGCCCAGCAGGAGCCCGGGCTGCTGCAAGAGGGGTGGGGGTGCCAAGAGGAGCCTGGGGGTGCCAAGAGGGGTGGGTGTGCCAAGAGGAGCCTGGGGACCGCGCTGGCCACACACAGAGCTGGGGCCTCTAGAGAGCGGGGCTCTTCCATCAGAGGTGGCTCCAAGCTGGTCCTTCCACTGGGTGCCTGTGGCAGGCACCCGTGGGACCCTCTGACCTGCCGAGGAGGGAGGCACCCACCCACCCCGCAGGCTCCACACCTGGCGGCAAACTGTGCACGTCAGAACAGGACTGTCTGCAATACAGGAGAGGAAAAGTTTCAGAAGACTGAAATGGCGTCCCCATGGAAACCGTTTAGAGCCAAACAGTGGCCTGTTCTCTAAGCACAGTCAGCCGAGTGTCTTGTTCCCAGCAACTCACAGCCACTGACCACACGGAGCCCTCCTGGCCCCAGGATGTGGCTCTGGAAAAGGTCTGGATTCTCAGAGGAGGGACAGGTGTCAGGATCCTGGGGACGGTGCCCTTGGCCTGGAAGGTCTCAATTTTCCAGGCAGAGCCAGGGCAAGTGGGTAACAGGGTGGGGCAGGGCAGGGGGAGGAGCCCCTGCAGGCACAGAGCGGTGACCTGGGAGAGGCCTGGAGCCTGCGCTGGGAAATACCCTAGGCTAATACCCTGTTCAGTGAAAAGCCAAGGGCGCCAGCGAGGGTCATCGGCTCCCTGCAGGCCCGCCGAGCCTCACGCGGTAGCAACAACTCCTGCCACCCCCCTCCTCCTCTCCTCATCTGCTGGGCGCTGCAGGCCTCACTCACCACTCAGGTTTTCTGTTCCCAACAAGCCTCTTGCTCATCTCGTCCCAGCCAGACGCCACCTCTGGGCTGACCTAAACACAACCACCCCCCGAGACACACGGCACCATCCTGCTCGGAGCCGGCTCCAACAGGACAGGTGTTCTGACCTTAGGGGACACTGAGGCAGGGAGGTCAGAATGCCTGTCTTGCCACCAGACCAAAGCCATGGGCACCTAGGCTGCTGCTGGTTCTGTCTACCGCACAGGGTGCCACTTCCCCACCCATTACAGGAGACCAAGTCCCAGCAAGTGGACTCCCAGCCAGGCCAGTGGGAGGTCATATCCGGCCCTGCCCTTTGTATTCTGTGGCTCTTGCATTTTGGAGACACATCTGGTTTGCCTCAGTTCCTCCTGCCTGGCACAAAACTCCCCACCCTCCATCCTGAGCCACGCCAGCCACAGCAACCTCTGCAGGGACTGCCCAGTTTCATGAAATGGAGTCTCGCTCTGTTGCCCAGGCTGAAGTGCAGTGGCATGATCTTGGCTCCCTGCAACCTGCACTTCCCTGGTTCAAGCAATTCTCCTACCCCAGCCTCCCAGCTACTTGGGATTACAGGCGCATGCCACCATTACAGGCATGTACCACCACGTCCAGCTCATTTTTTTGTATTTTTGGAAGAGACAGGGTTTCGCCATGTTGGCCAGACTGGTCTCAAACTCCTGACCTCAGGCAATCTACCTGCCTTGGCCTCCCAAAGTGCTGGGA